AGGTGCTAAAGAGAGAAAGGGCCACAATTAATACGAAAATACTCTATGCCAAAATTCGTTGTCGTTTGGTGACGTACTTCTGACGGTTTCAGTAATTCAGCAGCTTTATGCACATTCGATTTATCAAGGCTCGTTTCATGACCGCACGAGTTAATGACAGAGTGAATATAGTTGTTCTCAAATGCAAAACCTTTAAGCTGACGTCCCTACTCTGGTCAAAATTTCATATTTTACAAAGCTTTTAGACGAAGAATTATTGCGATTATTTGGACCTACGGACTATAACAAGTTTAACCTGTAGGAAGTAGTTAGAGTTCATATTTGTCATCCTCTATATATGTGAGATCGTATTTTACTTTACAAGACCACTATACCTACTTCCGGCTTCCTTTTGTGCTGCTGTGATGTGGTCTCTCTTTTTCATTCTTTGGGTTTAGGTTTAAATAATAATTCTCAAAAAAAGGTCCTCCTTAAAGCAACCAATCAGACGCCTTATTACCCAGTAGCCATCCGGCTTGACACTAACATAAAATAGTTGTAGTGTTTTTTGAATATAGTTTTATCCTTGAAAAAATACCTAGACTAAATTTAAAAATATTTCAAGATTGAATACTAACTAAACAAAGTGTGACTTTTAATATACGGTGGGAGACAATGCATGTATGTAGTCAATTTTTGTCTTGACACTGCTCTAGAAAGATTATCGACGGCGCGGATTACCGAGCATGCGTCGACAGTGAAGTTGAGGGACAAAAAACCTCAAGTTACGGGTCGTTCGACAAAACGTGTCCAAGTCTTTAAGTTCGACGAAGTTAGCATCCTTGTGAGTACAGACAAGCACGTGATTGACAGGTCACTTGAGTTATGTGTGTGCAAAATATATATATATATATATATATATGTGTGTAGAGTAGAAGTGGTAGGCATTCCGAGACGATATAATGAAAAAGGAAGAGTCTAGTGTGAATGTCTCACTCTCTATTTTCTCTTCATTTCGTCTGACGACGGGTTGGTGTCACCAATTCGAAAATTCACGAGTACAACTCGATTTTTTTCCGAAGAACCTCTTTCTTTTTCATATATATATATATATATATATATATATATATCTCAGAAATTATTAAGCGCCAGACATGGAGTTAGTATCCACGGCATGACCTTAGGGTCAGATCCGAAATTCCAGTGAACGTTTAAGTCGAAGACCATCAACTACTGCGGCGTAACTGAGTAATGCCCATTCGACAAACGAGCAGTATTGCAGTTGGTATGAATTTTATATGGCAAACGTGCTATATTGTTCTCTCAACATAAATACTGGCTATAAATCCAGACTCTTGTCTCGCCGATTTATGACCGAGAAGACGTTGTTCACATGCTCATTAAATGATGGTGTTTGGATTCGCTTAACGATAAAAGACGAGGGACGGAATTCCGATCCTTAGTAATGAAAAAGCAGACTCCATAGCCGTTGCAAGACTGTCCTGGTCATGTGACCGCAACCCTATGAGTCCGTTATCACAACCTCCGATTAATCATAACCTGTTCTACTAGACACAAAAAAACTTATGTGACAGAACTCCAGGCGGTGAAGTAATCTAATGCAGGCAAGGCAATTCGTCCCCAAATGATATTTGTATTTCCTTAGATATTTGTGAATCGAAAAAGTTAGATCCAAACAACAACAGACACTATATCACTCAGCTTCACTGACGATGCATGCTCGGTAATCCGCGTCTTCCATAATCTTTCTGTTTTTTTTGACTTAATTGTTTTATTCATAACTAAAGCGAGACGAGTAGGTGGATTCAGACGTTTTTTGTCATGGTACGGAGTCTTTCGATCACACACACTTTTGTGCCTAATGGTTATTTGCAATCTGGGTGACGTGATAGGGCCATTGGTAGATTACCAGCCGGGCAGAAATTCACATCCAACACTTACACTGAATGCTGACTGAATAACAACAAATACTTTATCTTCTTTTCACAGAGCGCCTTTCCTTTGGACATTTCACCACGACCTGCGTTTATGAACCACCTTTGGCGTCTATTTCAGGAGTTCAGAATTCGAAACCTTAGGAATAACCATCTTGGTAGTCTTTAAGTTAAAGTTTTTTCGAACTGCATTACAAAACCTACTCAAGGCGATTTATAAGCTCTCCCCATGTATCGACGATACTGTGTCCAAGTACTTCACTATCAGTAGTGCAGCTTGCGTTTCTGTATGGGCGTTTCTTCCGAGTTCAATCCCCATGCAAAATAGAAGTGAGAACCCACTCTCCCGTAATTTATTGACCTTCGGAATATAGTCTGGCATGTTCAGTAGGAATTTAGAGCGCCTCTTGACTGCGCATAAGATAAATGTGACTGTTAGTCCCGTGTCTTCTCAACACATTATATTCGACTTTAGGAAGGACGTGGCTTGGTCTGTAAACCACGACAGGTGATGATTCTGTTGATCCCGTCCACCACTCCTGCCAAAACTTTCGGTGACAGGTTGTATGGCAGTTTGTAGTTTTGCAAAGATGCTGGAGAAGGTGACATTAGGAAATTGATTGCCAATGCCGCTTTCAGTCACTTTCCGTTTTTCGTCACGATCAGTCGTCCTCGCTGAAGCCGTTTCTCGTCGCCATCGCCCAGGGACTAACGACATCTCATCTTCACATGCTCATTTCTCTTGCTGTTCTGTAGAATTCTTGATTGACAACCCCCTGAGCGTCAGTTATTCTGTTGACGTGTCTGATGATGAGCTTGAAAGTAAATATGAAAAGCCTAATGAATGAAATTTTGAATCAAAGATTGAACGACTTTCCTTCTAACTGCCTTTGGCACTCATACGCTCCTCTTAATCAGCATTCTATCCATCGTCAAGTCCCTTCTGATGTGAACGTCCCGATCATTTGAAATTCGTAACTTCCATCTAGGTGATTATCAGCTTCCTTATCCAACATTTCGTGCACATGTCTGATGGTGAAATCGCCAGATGTTCGCATTCTTTACTTCTACATTTAGTGAGACAGTCTTCATATGCGCTGAGTATTGCCATGAAGGTCCGCAAAATCTACTGTAAGTTTGAACTAGTCTAGCGAACATAAACTAGAAGCAGTTAGGAATCGGTCTATTTCCTTTGAGTCATAAAAACAAAATTGCCCAAAATATCCTCTGGTCCAAAGCCTGTATAATATGTTTCTGGCTCTGAAAGTGAAATTAGAACAACTTGCTGATCTTGTAACGCAGTGTGGCTAAGCAAATAAGCTCAAAGCAGCAGCGTAGACCACTGGCATCGGAACCTGGATCACTGAAATTTTGGGCTAATTCTCCAACCAATCATCAAAGTTATACTCAAGCGAGGTTTGTTTTCAACTCTGCTCTTTTCTCTCGCATCTTAACCATACATGCAAGGCAGGTCAGCATCGACTGGGTGCTACTCGAAAATAAAGGTCATCGCTGAGCGCTACTGATTGGGTAATCGTAAGAAAAGCGGGAATGTCGCCTAGTGGGGGTGGTAGGCACTTGGCAGCGTGTGTGTGTGTATGTGAATCTGCGAGCTCGGGTATTGCATATGAAACTGTTGAGTGAGTTCTGGGCCATTACAGAGGAGTCAGCGTTAACGGTTGTCGACAGCAAGTTCCATTTTGCGCAGTTGTATAGCTGATCAACATGGCGACACCGAGTAAGCGATGATTCATTTTCTTATTTTATCTATACCCTCAAATGAACTTAAGTCGTGTAATTATTTACCATACTGACAAGACAGGCACTAGCCAAAAGTCCAGAGATAAAATTGTTTGGTGAAATGCCCTAGCAGTCGCTTGGTAAATCGAGATGTTTTTTGGCTTTAAGGGTGTGCGGTATTTTTCCGAAAGTGTAGGCTATACCCTTTTAGGAACTAAGCAGGACAAGAGTCTTACCCTCAACCAACACAGCGAATTTCACAAGACGAGAAATGACGCACTGCATGCCTGACCTTGTTTCAAACAACTTCATTTTCCTGTGCCGTCAAGCTGTAGGTTCAGAAACAAGCATTAATAAGGTGATACCGACAAAGACAAGGGAGACTGGAATGGCCATTTCTGGCTTATGAGCCGTCATCAGCCAGTCATACCCAACCCCAAGTGTGGATCACTTGAAATTCGAACCCGGGATCTTTGGTCATGGAGTTTGACGCTCTCAAGTGATCCATACTTGGGGTTGGGTATGACTGGCTGATGACGGCTAATAAGCCAGAAATGGCCATTTCGGTCTCCCTTGTCTTTGTCAGTATCACCTTATCAACATATACCACTAGTCGCTGTGCGACTGCCTGCGAGGGTTTAAGTATGAGCCCCAAGGCACAACAGAACGAGCATGTTCTGTAACCTGATCGGTGAGCGCCCATCTGTCATAAAAGCATTTATGTTTAACCGTTATACCCCAAAGTAAATTGCACACTCTACACTTATGATATGCGCTATGAAATCTAACATTCTATCACAGCAAGCATAGACATAAAAAATTATTATTTTAATTAAATCCAATTGTAAAAACCTCGAGGCCTTATTGGGTTCCGAACCTATGACGGCAAGAGTAAGGCTTGAGCGGATCCAGAGCTCTAACCACGGAAACTAAAATGCTTCACTCGGAGTTGTGAGTTGAATTATACTTAGGTAAAGTTACCTGCTCAGCCTACTGCAACGTATGGAATTCATCAACCCTAATACAGTAAGCTGACTGCCCAAGTACGAGTTCTTAAGTAATAAATCTAGAATCGTCCAAGTCGAACTAGGCTCAATTGATCAATTAACGTCTTTGGCAGATTTGAATAATTCATTTGACTGAATCGTGAAAAACTCGGCGTCTAACGATTTCACCACTGGGTCAAAGGAATTATTCAAATAAACCAAAACACCAATTAATTAGTGTTTTGCTAAAATCAGAATTTGCCAATCCCTTCCTTGCAGCCATGGCTGTCCTTTGTACGAATTTACTGGACCAGGGTTGCTAATAGTGTCTGCGACGAATGAACGATGAATTTCATTTTCTGAAGTTTGACGAGTCAATTACAATTATAGTCTGTTGGTATAAATGATGTGGTAAATTAGGGACTGCACTGACTAAAATAATTAACGGCAATCAGACGGAGAAGTTGGCTTTGGAACTTGTGTAAAGTCTCCTTTCGGCTGGTGAATGACTGATAATACCGAGGATTTTCACGTATTGCAACATTCATTGGTTCTCAACATGCGTCCATTTACACCCGATAACTTTAAAAAAGCACGTCCTTCTGTGCAAAGGAATGTAATGGTCTCCAATTGTGATCTTTTAATTTTGGTATCTGAAATTCGAGAAGGTTTCACTTGTCAGGTATTTCGCTTCAATGTTAACTTCACCCACGGAGACGTGGTATTCTCGCATGTACGATGCAGCAGATCTTGGCAAACGAGATTAAGATGTCGGAATGTCGTGAACTTCTTTGTGTCAGATAATATAACCCTTGTTCGAATGGTGCCTCCCTAGTTTAAACCAAATTCAAATGCTCAGCACCGCCACAAGGCACGTAGATTGGCAGAAAACCCACTCACCTTATGCACTCCGAAACATTTTATTTATAAAAATGCATCAACAACCTCAAGTAATCAGGACCCAGTTAAATTGAAGCCTGTAATTTACTTCCTCCTCCATTTGCTGCATCTGACTCGCGTACGAAGTATGAGGTGATTATGTGAAGTTTTGATAGTTTTAAAGAAAATTATTTCTATTAAAATATAAAGTTTGAGGCAGACTGGTTGACGTTCAGCACACTTATGATCAGAGTGTTTCAAATGACACAGCAGAAAGATGGGACCGAATATTTGTGAAAGACCACTTCAAGGAGTTAGTATTGGCTTGTCAAGCTAGTTGAAATCCAGAATCCTTAGGGATTTGTTGCCGTGGAGAATCCAGCTCGTCATTAATTCAAGTTCAATCGATTCTGTCTGCGATCAGCTTCTACTCACTTTTCAGGTTATGGCAATTATCCTCTTTGTGGATCTGAGTCCGGTTGAAAGTATTCAGCGGGCTGGCCTTCACTCCAGACATAAAGCAAAGCTGCAGGATCTAGTCAAATTAATATTAAACCCCTGTGCAGACTGCTTACTTAATAAAAACGCGTGAACGGACCAATCACCGTTACCTCGACAGTGTATTGGGATTTTAAGCCGCCTCGATATGGTCAGGGACGTTCATCTAGCCAAACGTCAAGATAGCCATCGCTTTTGCCGACGACGGGCAATCGCTTTCCTGCATTGAGCAGAATATACAGTATCGTTTAAAATTTAAATGCGTCTGAGCGTTCAGAATTTTTAACGTGCACGTTGAAGCACTTCAAGATGATCTGTAAGTGAAAATCTTTTGTCCGATCTAAAGACTGAGCCAGACTTTTGACTTGGCAGTTCCTTTGACCGTGGGCCTGCAGCTAGACGCCCTTGGCTATGTTCCTTGTAGACCTGATGAACAGAAGAACAGAAAGCAAACTTCTTTGCAAGAAACCAATCAAAATCACGTTAGATCTGAGCTTTGTAGACACATCGACATCGTGAAATTATTGAAGTCTGCTCGATAGCAATCTATATTTTATTCACCGCACATTCAATTTTGTTGAAATTCAACTTCTTCCAGCCTCTGTTATTCAGTTTTCTGTGCGCTTATTGACAATCTGACATGAACAGAAAATGTCATAGCTATGTTAAGTACTGTCACCATAAGACTTAGCGGCCAAAACGACGTCATTCAAAGGACGATTTTGCCGGGTATGGGCACGTTTATTTTTCCGTCCTAACCAAAGGCCGGAGAATGAATTGATTTGGTCTTGGCAACATGTACGATTACTTCAAAGAGACATTAAATGCGACTGGAAGACCTTAAACATTAGACTCGTCAAATAAAATATAGGCCACGCATTCTGAGCTGAAAACATTCTAGTATCCGCCGAAGTTTACGTTGATCTTTGAATGGGCCAAGTTGCTTTGACGCCCAGCTAGCAGCTCCAATCCCAAGCCAACTTTTAATTTGTTTTCCGTGTATCCTTATTTATAATCAGATGACAATGAAGTAAACCTGGAGACAGAGTTCTTAAATACGCCAAATGATTAGTTTATTGAGAGACGTTTGGCAAGATCGGCGGAATATGGACTAACAACGGATGGCAAATGGCCTACCTCATGAAATATTAACCGAAATTTTAAAACGCATTCACGAATAGAACTAATTTTCCAGAGGAGGTTGTAATATCGCCTCTTATGCAGCATAATCTTGGTTTTTGACAAAATTTATTTCCGGCGCATGTGAAAACCACACCCGGCAAATAATAGCTAAGGTTTTTAAATTATCCATTGATTTTGAATGTCTTTGTGGATCCAGCTATAGTTTACGGAAAACTCTTACAAGAACATTTGTTCCCGTACTCAGACAGTAGTACATGATACCCTTGTCAAAGATAATTCTCAAACACACGATATCTTCCAATTTAAAGAAAGCCTGTAATGATGAGATCACGCAGAACGTAAAACGTTCGTTTACGCAGTATCGTTTATGATGTGTACATGACTCATATCCATCGCAGAATTTTATGAGATCTATATGGTATCTTCTTATTAGTTTGGAGAAATGGAGAATCCCAGTTAGGACTATGTGACTTGGACTTGCCACTGTAAATGTGAACTGTGGAGCGAATGGTTCTTGGTCGCAGGCTCGTATCTTGAGCCGTAATGTCCGGCTGCATTTTAATCTTGGCCTTTCTTTGGAGGCGTTTCAAATAGTTCAGAGGTCGCCAATTTTAGTAATTTGGTTTTCGACTAATTTACTAATATTGCATACATCTCCTCACATATTGACTGTTTATTTTCGAAGATTTACTTTTCACGTTTGTGGTGACAGATCTTATCTTACAGATAAGATGCACAACGCACTTGTTAGTTATGTTACCTTTACAGGATGTAAAGGAGTGTTTTCGGTGGTATTGATTATAGTTTTCAAATATTCGCAAGTCCGGAATACCATACCTTCCTAATAACGTCATAGTCCAACATGCTGTAATGTAATCCACATATATTGAAATGTATCAGGGATAGTAATGGGGACACGCAAGGTTAGATGGGCACAGGTTAAACAAGATTCGTAATAGCAGTACCAAAAAGACAAGGGGGACTGGAATGGCCATTTCTGGCTTACTAGCCGTCTTCAGCCAGTCATACTCGACCTCGAAGTGTGGAACGCCTGGGGCCCGATTCCCAGGCGAGGACGTTGAACTTCTAGTCAACGGGTCACGGAATCGCGCCCCAGGTGCTCCACATCTGGGGGTCGAGTATGGCTGGCTGACGATGGCCAATAAGCCAGAAATTGCCATTCCAGTCTCCCTTGTCGTTGTTGGTAATGCTATTCCGAATATATCACGCATCGCGTCGCGGCTGCTGGTTGGGCTCGAAAAAGAGCCCATAAAACACAAGGGGATTAGTGAGTTCCGTATAAACTATCGTCAAGCGCCCCGCTGCCAACATACGTAATAAACTGTTTTACAACTTTAAAATTACACGAAAATACAGGTTAGGCCTAACTGAAAAAATTGTTTATATATGTTCTGGCAGAGGATAGGGATTTTAACTCTCCGTAATACAGCTGGCTCTGTACTAAATGCGAGAAAAATATTGTTAAGGTTAGTTGTAGGGCTAGGTTTCATGCTAGGTTTAAAAGACGGGAATGGGCACCAATTCCGCTGTCCTCCCAGGGGTAGGCTCATATACTATATCCTTATTGGTTTTACGTTGTTCGCATATTAGTAAGCACTTTAAAAAACCAAATATTCAACTTTTAAATAGACATAAGTACCCATAAATTCAGGGACTGAAGCAAATTTTTCGACTTTTTTACGGCGTACACACAGCCATTCAAAGGCAGTTGAACGAGCGATGCCCTTGTTAATGAATATAGTTCACCAAGATAATTTTCATAGCATTATTTTCCTATTATGCAGTCTGCCATTCAGGAAACATCGGGGGCTAATATCACCACCATGAAAATCTATTGCAAAATGTTGACGATTATGTTAGAAGTCTCCAGCGTCCACAAGGAAAGACAATTTTTCCCGAATAACTAAACGCTTACAATCTCCATGGTCGATTTTAAGGTATGTCCTAATAGAAGCGCGCGTGATCTAAGCACGGTCTCTTTCACCAGTTTACCCCCCGCTATTTAGACGCTCCTATTTTAGGCCGGTTGTCTAGAGACGGCCATAGTGAACAAAGTTTACAAGAAAGTTGTAATTATGTATATTACTAGGGTACACTCTTCGTCGTCTTCGGAAAACAGACCAGACGCATAAACTAAGACATAGATAAGACCAGTGTTCTACAACACTGTTTGAAAAATCGCATAGAGGCAACACAACACCGACCGAAACATAGATTGGCTGCCCAAATAAAATGCAACGACAATGTCTTGTATGCATTTTATAATAATAAAGGTTTAAAATCACAGCAAGAGATCCTATATATTTTTACTAAATGCATCGCGGACTGCTTTATTTTGGATGCTAGAACAGTTCCTAGTTCCTTACTCATTAAAAGAACATCGGTAGCAAGGCTTGTCAACTATAGGGGGATTGCTTAAACCCTGCCCAATACTGACGTAGGACACATGACTGAGGTGTATTGGAAACTGCCTAGAATCTTCTGCTAATTTCACAGGCAAGCATTATCAAACTGCGCGGAAACGTTCGGTTTAAAGGCTGACTTTCAAACATTTTGCACTGGAATTTACTCATTTTGGTCTCTTCACGTGGTCGCTGATGTGTGTGTGTGTGGTGATCTCATTTCAACAAAATGTGAATGCGCAGGAAAGCACACACACACACACATACGATCGTTAGGTGATGACTCATTCGGCGACTTTGGCTGATGCATACGAAATGAGTCTAGCATGCTCGTTTACGGAGGGCGACATTTGGCAACTACCGGACTGAGCCCAGAGTCTTAATGTGGGCTTCTGATAAATGCAAATCTGCTCTCGCTAAACACAGCTCTCGCCAACCTGTTTGTTCTCATTTATTATGCAAGTATTGTCCTGGACAATCAGTAGTGCCACAAAGATTGCACTTCATCATGCCAAGTTCAGATTTCCATCTTCCTGTGTTCGAGGAATCAGGAAGTAGGAAACCGCTTAAGATGCTTAAAATAGGGAAGGAATCTCCATATAAATCGGGGTTATCCGAATATAGCCATCCGCAGATATCACGATTTCTCGATAAGCTCTCTATCGGCAACGCTCTGAAGGAAATAGCCGGTCTTCCAGCAAATATGTGATATTCCTTGTTTGTTAACCGGCGAGGCGTTTACAATTTTGGTGCGAAGGATAGCCGCTTTGAAAGTTGAGGTTCAATCGCGATTTGTGAAACACCATACTTACGAAAGATGAGTAGAAGAAATAAACTTTCTTACAGTAAATCATGATTCAACTACTGCATTCCCTATGACAGAGTAGGTAAAACAGGTAATACACACGGACAGAAACGTATTTATTTTCAAAACAGCAACTAGTCACTTGTCTCTTTTTTCAGTCTCTAAAGTGCCTTTAAAATGTCACCTCACAAAACGGAGGCGAAATAACAAAAACCTGCTTTAGAATATTTGTGAAAGACACGGCCAATATTTTTCGTGTTCGACAATGCTGTACACAAGTGCAATTTTATTGAATGTATACTATAGACTCAAGCTAGTTTATTTTTTGGATGCGGGAGATGGGCAAAAAGGACAAAAGTGATTACTTTTTTTACTGCGATATACGAAAAAATTTAGAATCATGCAGCCACAAACAGCTCGCTGTAGGATGGGATCGACTTATTTAGCACCCGAATTCACACAGTAATGTTGGTCATGCCGTGTAAGAGTTATTCTTTTCATTGTTTATATAATAAAAATTTTGTTCAAGCCTATCATAAGAGGAGGAAACGCCTTTGAGGTTTCATGTGCACTTGTACCAAATTACTTCCGTCAGTCAATCTTTCCGCGCTACGGACGTACCTTTCTGCAGTCGCGGATCAAGAGGAGAAAACTTCTAGCTAAGTAAACATGGAGTATTTCTGTTAAGTCTCCAGTGGTTAGTTTAGCATTTGTTCACAATCCAGCCGTGCCCTACCGATATGCAGACTGAGACAGTCCAGCTGATCTCTGAACGAAAGAGCACATTCCGTCGGTCATGGCTGGCAAAGTGCGCCTTCAACCGTTTCAGTGCAAGCTGTTTATAGCCTGAACAAGCCGTTTTCGTTTGCAGTGCACTTTTGAATCGGCGTCAGAAAAGTCGCATAAATTTACCCCCTGAGGAGAGTGTCAGCTGGTGACAGAACAGACAAGGCAACTGACAACATGAAATTACCATCTGAATAACTTTACTTTTACATTAGTTTTATTTGACGCATAGACTGATAGCTAGAATCTATGATTTGGTAAAACAGGTTAATAAACTGATAATAGTGGCTATTCTAGAAAACTTTTAAAAGTGCCTACCTTTAACCCTCAGTGATGTGAATAAACAGTAAGGATATGCAAAACCGCCTTTCATAGACCAGGGGGTTTGACTTGGAGAATTATCACTTCGTTTTCCTCAGCGGGATAACGGGATCTCACTACATAAACGCAGAGAACATGAGAGATTAAAATACACTGAAGGAAATTTTGTCGTCAAACGAACTATTTGTTTCCATGTAAACCACCTTACCTGCAAATATTTAAAAGGAGAAACAAAAGCCTTCTGACACCTGTAAGCAGATTCACTTAACGCGAAATGGCACCTGGTGTGGAATTTCACTTCAGCGGAATATAGAAGGTTGGTTTGTATTCGGCAGTATATTGTGATAAAGATTGTTAATTTCAGGTATTTTATTCTCGGAATTAGGATGCTTAGAAGACAAATATAAAAGTAAATCCGTTGTACCTCGTAAAAAGTGTTAAAATTAAAGACAAAGGAGTAGCCGAGGCAGCAAGCACAGAGAATTCCCAGAGTAAAAACAAGTTTTACGTGGTAAGGTAAATGCGCTGCAAAGACGAAGGCTAAATGACAGTCAAGTCAGGATCATAAAACGAGCTCAAGTGAGCAAATTTGGAGAACGCCGAGAATGACTTTTTACTGAAAATTTTTAGGCATGTTTTCCGACAAGCAAGGCACTTTCACTGTGACCTGTTATGACAGAAACTTCAACGCTATTCGAGTGCATAAACCGAAACGCACAAACAGAACTGGCGAAAAAGGTCTCATTTTTTATGCACGCGTTACACTGCACCTTCGGTGTCACAAGTCCCCAAGGCGTTTTGCTCAAAGGACACCTTGTTTGCTTCAACTCTGTTTTCGTACATGTAAAATCGGAAAACAATTCTCATCCCCAGTGACTCTACGTGACTCATTTATGATAGGCAAATATTAAAAGCCAGCCCCAAATGCATTTACGACAACGTGGAAAAAACGCCCTCAGACTTCGTAGCGTAAACTGATAGGTCAGGGAAAACAGGTGAAGTACCTATCCCATTGTAATAATACAAACCCTAACATTAATGCCAACTTTTATTCTAACACAGACCTTAACCATAACCCTAGTTTCTATGGAACTTAGTGCATAGCCACCTGCATTACAGGATTTCCTAGTCCTGTGGTCTGCAGGAAAATCTTTACAGTTTCCATTTGTTCGACCAGACCAAAGAGCTTATGCACAAATATATATATATATATCAGGCGCGAGCGAGAGGGACCTATTTAAACCGTGTAATTTTCTAATATTTCCTATCGCCGATGATGCGCTCGAGTATGAGTGTGAAACGTCAGATGAATAAATCATCATCCTCAGAGCTCGCCTTACCATCTTCTTCAATTTCAACACCTGGGGTCAGCATTTTCGTCTACATCCATATATATATCTATATATTTAGAAAGATGAAGTTCTTTGGGAAACAGAAAAATTTTATTGTGAATTTTCGAGACTGGTTCCCCAGCTCGTCTTCAGACAATGGGTGTGCAAAAACAATTAACTTTTAGCCTGAGTCTAGCACACCCATTGTCTGAAGACGAACTGGGGAACCAGTCTCGAAAATTCATAATAAAATTTTGCTTTTTCCCAAAGAACTTCATCTTTCTAATTATATTTCTTGGGATGCCTGTTTTTCAATTTATATCTATATATATAATGGTAGGGGGCGCTCACCGATCGTTCATACGGAACTCACTCGTTCCGTTGTGCCTTACGGGTTCTCTCTCGAGCCCAACCAGCAGCCGCACAGCGGCGCATGATATATAGGCAGAATGCTATTACCGACAAAGACAAGGGAGACTGGAATGGCCATTTCTGGCTTATTAGCCTTCGTCAGCCAGCCATACCCAAGCCCGAAGTGTGGAACGATCGGTGAGCGCCCCCTAAGATTGTATATTCCCGAACGAAAACCGACAGGGCAGCGGGCTCGTGGGACGGGGGGTAGAGGCGTGGACTTCTAAACCAACAGGTCGCGAGTTCGAGGCTCGGGTTTTCCACACTTCGGGCTTGGGTGTGGCTGGCTGACGACGGCTAATAAGCTAGAAATGGTCATTCCAGTCTCCCTTGTCTTTGTCGGTAATAGCATTCTGCCTATATATATATATATATATATATGTCAGTCAGTCAGTTTATTCGAGGGAAATAGGCTTACGCCTTTGAACTCCCTATTTGTACATAGAAAATCGATAAATCAGCAGAATGTGAAGAAATTACGGCAGTTAGTGTATGCAGGCATTGATTCAGATATGACAATGGTCTCATGGCTAAAAAGTCACATAGTCCGCTTGGTGCTGTAGCATATGTCTGTCAAGTCGACATTTAAATGTCGCCACAGATTGAGACATCACAACCGTTTCGGGCAGATTATTCCACGGTTCCACGACACGGTTGGAGAAGAAATATTTTCTCACATTCAATCTACCCTGGGGCACACGTAGCTTGAAGGGATGTCCCCGGAGGTTAGTTGTTGTGGCGAGTTGGAAAAAGTCATCGCACCGAAGGGCGCAGTCCAAGTCACGCACGATACGGAAAGTTTGTATCAAGTCTACGCGCAACTGCCTATAACTCAGAGGATAGAGATTAAGGTTAGTTAAGCGGATCTTGTATGGCAGTGCACTTTGACCTCTTACTAATTTTGTGGTTCGCCTCTGCACCCTTTCAAGCAGATTGTAATCCTGATGTGTCCATGGTCTCCAGGCCTGCATTGCATATTCGAGGTGCGGCCTTACAAACTTGCCGAAGACTTTGGAGAAACAATCTTCATCGAAAACTGCGAATGCCCGCTTGATGGCATATAGCATTGAAGTTGCGGCCTTGGCCGCCTTACAACATTTCATAGAAGGCTTAAGGCTGTCTGCAACTTAGACTCCGAGATCTTTCTGCGTTTTTGCTTCTCGAAGTGGTATTCCGTTCAGATGGTATTGCCGCGTACTAGGGGTCTGATTTCCGTGGCGCAGTATGGTACTTTTGGTCAAATTGAAGGACAAGAACCATCTGCGGAACCACTCGTCCAATCGACAAAGATATGTATATATAAAGGCAGTAGTTTAAGGAATTAAGTGCAAGACACGGAGTTAAGTGCCCAGAAATGACTTTGAGGGCCAGACCAGAACTTCAATGAAAATGTGAGCCAAAGACAATTAACTATCGTGGAATAGCCACGCAAAGTTCATCCTGCAAACAAAAGAAAATACTTGTAACACTACTTGGTTTTGGGATGGAAATTTCGCGGTCATTCGGCCGTACTTGATTGTCTTCGAATTAAATGTTCGGTAATAATCGGGAGATGGCACCCAAAAAAATCCGCCTAACGAAAGCAGCCCGTCTTACGGGACAGGTGGTAATAGGGGTTTTATGGGTTATAGCTGGTGGGGATGTACGATAATAGCTGACAGAAAGCCTTATTTGAACAGATGAATGATCGAAGTTGGCCCGCTCTCTGTCCCGTTATTACAACATGGGTCGCCAAAGGCAGTATAGTGGAAACGGACGAGCGGAAGGCGTATAATCGTCTTCCTTCAGAAGGTTATCTACATTTCTCTGTTAACCACTCAAAGAAATTCAAGGCCCCTACCATCGGACGGCACACCAATGCCATTGAGGCATACTGGAGTAGACTGAAAAGGAAACTCCACGAGGGAGGCCCTGTATGTGGTCAAGCTGTGTGGGCTCACATAGACGAAGCGCAGTATCGGCTTTGGTTTGGCCTCAATGCCATGTCTTTGACAGATGCTTGGAAACTGTTCCTGTCCCAGTTTGTGCAGACTTATCCTATTTAAAAGTAGTTTTTTTGTAATAAACTGCCATAATAAGAATGTATGCCGCATATTCAGGTGTATGTGTGTACAGATGGGGAAGGTTGGGTAATAGCGACCATCGTCCATGTAACCTCCCACGATGTTCGTTCGGCCAGCCCATGTTAGGCCGTCGCGGAAAGTCCAAGTAGTGCGTGAAAGTAGGCCTGCAACCGCTGATATAGCATGAAGGAGTTTGAGTCCACTGTTAGAGGTATTTTTTCTAGGTAACGGATTTTTTGGGTGCCATCTCCCGATTGTTACTAAATGTTCTTTAAAATTCCGGGTCCGACCCTAAAACGACATGTCCCAGGCACATCATAAGTTCTGAAATTACTACCTTGATTTTTCTCTGGAGTTCAGGTGCCAGAAACTGCATAGAGGACGTCCGGCGACCCACAGAGGAGCCGGGCCCCTCGCAGTTGTGTCACGCAGCAGCAGGAAAAGCATAGGTGTGACACGTCTGAACTTTTAACTAGTATCTATGTCGAGAGTATGATATAACCATCGGTCATATATATGTACATATATGGATAACTTGTTCATTTTTGCTGAAACTGCAATAAAAATGTTTTCTTAAACTTTAGACCTGTAGTGGCTTTTAACCACATACGGCATTTTCAGGGTTCCGCATTGAACATGCCTACTCTTTAAATAGATTTGGCCATATATTTTTTTCAAAAAGACCGAATTTTGTAACAATTTAAATAGTTTGGATGTCACCTCTCCTGAAGTATTGGACTTAACAGTACAATTTATGGCACCTAGATGGAATTCAGGTTGCAGACCGCTGCCTTAAATGTTGCACTCTTAGTTGATTTATTCGACAAAGATCTGCGTTTGAAAAACACACAGAGAAGATAAACCAAGAAGTTTAGTCGCGCCTGAAAACCCCCTGGCGGTCCACCTCAGTCACCCTCTTGGCACGCAAGAGTTGACGGGTCACGGTGTTGGCAGCGCGAAGCGAACTAAAAACGAGACGAAACCATCTGCACGGTAGGTCTTGTAAAGTGCTGCTGTTACTGCCCCGAGGGACTGTAAGAGGTGCCTGGTACGCCAGCAATTGAGAGAACTGTGCTACAAAAGTTTACTGGAGACCCAGGGCCCGAAGAGGCGAGTCAAAGGTGTGACTGGACTTACAGGAGTGCACGACGCTTCATTTAACCTGGCGTTGAATTAGTTAACTTTCAACTCTAGTATACCGTGCGGCAGCAACGGCTTGCAGAGCATGATGGCGCGCGACCTGTCAATGAAGAGGTACGCCTGCAAACAAAAGGGTGCCTGCGGTTGCACCAACTGGGGTTTTGGTGTTGAACCGGGATTTCAGCGTCTGCTTCCTCACAGACGGCCAGAAAACCTGACTAGATCACGCCAAGACCCTGAAGAGACAGGTCTGGATGAACGACACTTTTTTACCTTGCATGACAAAGAAAAAGCTGCCTCAGAGATAGAACATAGTGCGTCGGTATTGCAAATTAGAACCAAGCTGACAGTTGTCTCAGCCTAAACAAGAGCTTAGTATGTGTACAGTAGTTGTGCTATCCCAGGAAACGTTAACAGAGATTCCAAAATATGTTTCCGATTCGGAAATCTGCTTACAAAGTGTTCCAATATTTGTTGGCCTACAACGGTACTCTAAGATATTTCAGCTCATCAGGATGCCAGCTTTTGAAATGACTTCGTTTCGATCACCTGCGGGAATCATTTATTTTAAAATGCGACTACTTAGGTAGTAAGACACTTTCTCATTGGTTTTCGATGTCCTGACAAATGGAACTCTATTTTATGGAAAACATGCAAAAACATTCTTGGTAGGAATTGACATTTTTTCCAATGACATTATCGACAAAAACCAGAGAGACAGGAATGGCCATTTCTGGTTTATTAAACGTCGTCAGCCAGTCACACCCAACCCTGAAGTGTGGAACGCCTGGAGTTCGATCGCGCTACCTGTTAGTTAGAGGTCCAACATGTCTAACCACTGAGCCACGGGCTCGTTGTCTTGCCGGTTGCAGTAAGGAACATGCAATGGTAAAGGGGGCGCTCACCGATCGTTTCTACGGTACGACTGGCTGTCGACAGCTAATAATCCAGATGTGGTCACTCCAGTCTCCCTTGTATTTGTCGGTATTACTATTTTGCCTATATCATGCACCGCTCTGTGCCTGCTGGTTGAGCTCCAGAGTGTCCTAAGGCACAATGAGACGAATGAGTTCCACGGAAACGATCGGTAGGCGCCCCCTCTACCATTTATTTCAATGTTAAACTCAGAGAAAAGGTACCCTCCACCTTTTAAGAGTTTTAGTTTTGAAATATTTTAGGGCTGTGAAATGTACATTGAAACAGTGCAACATAGGCACGTTGATTAATGCTACTTATAAATTATACAACCTGGCCTGCATCCATCGCATGATTTCTGTGCGCTATTTGACGTCTTTCTAACAGCCTAGATAAAGATGTAATATTCCTTTGATGGAATGCATACAGAATGAAGTTTGGAAATCTTGAATGCAAGCATAACGGCTGGTGGGACAAAAAAATTATTTGGAAATTTAAAATGTCTTCAAAAAACAAAATTTACTGTCTCATCAAGTGCAAACGTGAGAGTTGACGTAATTTACCACCAAATGAACGCACAAGACGACACTTTTGTGCATGTTTTCTGAGAATATGATCGACTATGTAGGGGCAGCGAAAATTGATAAAACAATTGCATACTGCATAAGTAGCAACATGTTAAAAAATATAATTTGTACAGACGGCCAAAAAGAGTCTCATTCGCAAGTTGGCATTCGGAAGCGACCGAATCATACTGCACGATAATTGACATCACATCCTTGCCTAAATATTATTTTCGAATCGAAAGAACATTTCAGAATTTTGGTCGACATTTCGTAAGGTAGCACGTTTACTTTAAGTACAATAAGAAAGCGTCTACTGCTCTAGATGTCCGACTAACTGCCCTTTTAGGACTTAATTGTGATTGACTTACTGGAGATCAGTTGTTACAATAGCCGTTGTCTATAGGACGTTTTGGATGAGTCTTTTAGAGTTAACAGTGGGTGTAGACTAGAATGTTTAAGAAGATATATGCCAGGTAGTCTTGCTTGTACGTGCAGTATTGATTTCAGACAGTAATTTGATGAGCAGTCAACAGAAACATTCTGTAGGCAAAACTGTCTGTTTTATTGCCCAAAACAACCAGTAAAATAAGTAAAAAATTACTCTCCGACGGACCCTTGCACAGACGGATCGATCAAAGCACTAAGTGAAGGCTAATTTTAATTCTAAGCTATTTTATTTTGTCCAAATCGCTAGAGAATTTGGGTCGCTACAAGGCTTTTCTTGAGAAACAACTTTGATCAAATGTCTTTCCCGCAACTTAGAGCGACGGGTATTAGGCTGTGGTTCGGGGTTCGATAACTAACGCATAATTCAGGAAGCTGTTTTAGTCTGCAGTCTTCTTCCGACCCACCAATTGCGCGCAACAAATGCAATTTGGGGACAGGTCAACATGTGGAAGGGATCAGATCTGTTACAAATCATCTCAGCACGGCTTATTCACGGTAAGTACATCAAAACCAGATAAGCCACTGTCCAGTGGGGGCATTTGAGTTCTCTAAGTTTATTAAAAGACCAAGGCTAAAGTCACCTTGCAAACATTGCGAATGAAGCGAGCAACTCGATCGCAATAATATTTAGCAGGCAGATACTGGGAAGACGATATGTGTTTGCAGAGTCTGAGAGTAGTATTCTCATCGCGTGAGGTTTAACGTCTGTTTTCTCACTCTCCCATAAACAGAAAAGGATGCGTCAACAGAATATTTTGTCTGCTCATTCTAAAACAGGTGATTATGTGCCACTTACTATTACGTAACCTTCGAACGATATTGCCTATCTACGTACAAAGTTGACTCCAATAACGTGTGACTAGGATATACAAATGGTGCTTTCGACATATTTTGAGATGTTGAAGTTAAACGGTCTAAAGGTTATTTAAGACTGTTAGAATAATGCCCTTTTAGAAGGCCGATGCCACCTAGTAACATGTTACAAGTGACCACTTAGGCAGCTTAGGTGATTATTCATGACTCTCCTTCGTCAGAGGACAAGCGACTTCATGGGCGGTTTTTGGGAGTAAAAATCGGCTGTTTCTGCAGAAAGTGTATTGGATTATATTGGAAAATAATTTTTACATCTTAAACCATGATCAAATTGGTCTTATTTCTCAAATTTAATTTGGGGCACAAGGAATGCTAAATTATTCCGAGGGCATCTTCATATACAAACTATATTGCTTCTATTTATTTGGTCTTTGCCAAATAGGACCTAATATAAACCCGAATCCTTCCTTTTCAGTAGGTTTCGGTTAGTCTTTTCTGCCGAAAGACGTGATTTAATTCTTCCTTTTGCACCCACAACGGTTGAGCTCAGCAGATTAAAAGTATAGAGTCGGTAGCATACACTCCACTACTGTGATACTAGTTAGATATCTATTGATTTACGTAGAGCGCCTAATCATCACAGCTCCTCCCTGACTCTCCTTAGTGTTTATTGAACAAGTACTTAAGAAGCCTGGAAGATTTTCTAAGGCATGGAGCTTTGTCAAGTACGGGTTAACTTAAGTTGCTACTGGTTGTGTGACACATCCGTAACGGTGAACAAACAGGCACAATGGTCCGCGAATCATCAAAAATCATGTCTCTAAAAGCGCTCTTTTTTTTCTTGTGAAACTGCTTAGCACATATCGCCTATAAAGTCATCACACATTATTTTTGCGCTTTTAATCAAGCCTTAAAACCACGGTCGTTTTCCAAAAAGGTATTCAAAGAGTTCTAGTTGAATGCAGTTAACTTCAGTGGGCAAAGCACATCTTCACACTTCTCGGGCAAGCTTTTTTATGTGTTTCGTACGAAATTGGCTTCCCTCTATACCCAATACTAGTACTGGAAAATATATATTCTGACGGTGTATTTAAATGCAACAATACATATAAGTAATCAATATCGGCATCAACCACACTTGTGCCATCAACATTTTCAAGCTTTTGTAATAATATCGGGCTCTGATTTATTCCATCAAGCACCATTTACTAGATCATAAGAAGATGATTCTCCCTATGTATCCATATAAAGCAATGAACACTTGGAAGTTTAGAAATTAAAAACTTATTTACATTACCATATTGCATTTCACGACGGATTTTTTCCATATTTGGCGCAAAGTTCGATATCTTAAAACTGCCGAACCCACTCAAATGTACTTTAAATTCATCCGAGTTGAATAAGAAGGCTTGATTTAATGAAAACCAACTCGAATGGACTCATGGGTAGTCTTTCGATAGCAGTCTTTTCGCTCAGCGTACGCTGTGGACCAGGGTATGTGGTGGTAGGCCGAAGTGTGTGCGTTTGGGCGTCTCAGCCACCCGCGTTCTTTTCTATTTCTGGTTTTCTTGACTCTGTCTTGACACCGGATCTAGGTGGAGGAGGACGAGGCAGTGCGGAAAATGCAGTGAAAGTTTACTATCACTGTAGTGAAATCACCCACAAGTCACCACCCATGATCTCACTCAAGCTTTGGAGCACACGGTGGGCATCCTCGGTCATAACGGTCGAGCTGTCGGTCATTTGATTGTCCCCAGGAAATCACCGCTGCTTAAGCTTAGGCCTGCACATTTTTACTCGTTTTTGAAATTTAGAGACGTTTTTCCACAACCTTTTAATGTATAACATACTTGAGAAAACGGATGTGAACTTTCGAATGCCGGGATTACCTAAAAATTGCTGGGTATACAGGTGATCCGAAAACCTTGTCTGATATATCCTCGTGCAGCTAAAAGTAGGAATATTAACATGAAACTATTTGACAAAGCATCAATATTCATAAACTGTTCGAACTAGCCTTTTCTGGACATGAAGGCGACTTTATTAAAACATCCACAGCTGATTGCGAACACTGGAAAATTGTTTTCGGATTGCAAATGATCTGTACGCCCCTGTCTTATGCGCGAACTTGTTACCATGCCCGAAGAAGTTATAAACAATATTTTCTGATTACTTGTAGTGCAACTACCTCTTCCGTCTTCCTCTTTAAAGCTCACTTCAGCTTCCTCGTCGTCGTCAATATATTTTACATTTAACCATAAACAGGTCCTTATGCGTGGTAGTTTTACATGCGGTTAACTTCAAAAGCTTTCGCTATTACAGCCTAGGTTCACAAGAATGGAAGTGGTTTGTTTTGGGTAATTAATCAGTATTTGTCAGTTTTCCCTCAAGTATGGATCTGCGATTATAATTTTTAACGGAATCACTACTCAATCTGAGGCCTACTTCCTATTTTCAGAAAACGCCTGTTCCGTTTTTGCATATCCCGAAAAGTCAGAAAATGTGTAAGCTCTACTTCTATAGACGTTTGCAGCATTTCTGTCATCTCTTGAATCCAGACGATGGAAGGAATACTTCGATGCGAGTGACGCGTTGCAACAGAAGTCCTTACCGCGACTATGTTCCCAGTAATGCATCGGAACTTGGAAGCTGAGCATAACACCACCTTTTGTCTCGACTAATTTAAACTGGCAAAACAGACTGCAGTACTGAAATCTTGAAATTGAGCGGGAAGATTGTTTTAAACTTTTGTAGAAAATCAACGGAAACCCTGGCTAGATACTTAGATTGCATTCTTCACTCTGCCTATGGGGCTTCGGGAAAATGGACTCACTAGCCACAACAGCGAAGGACAGAGGGAGCAGTTCAGCGCTTGTAGACGAAGGGAATTAGTAATTTGGATTTTTTGACGAACTACATACTTGCTGTCAGCAAAAGCGGCCTCTGTGGCGAGTCCACTTTGGCGGTTACTTATATCTCATAAAAATGTGCTCCATGAAAATCGTCTACGAACTTCAAGCGAGCACAGGAAAACTCCGTAAGCGCACTTGAAGATGGCAGCTGTCGGGTCGAAAACAGAGTTTTTATTAGGGGAATATTTACGCTTTCTCGCAGAATAAAATAGCATGTCTTTCATTCCATACGCTGGCTAACAACTTGTTCTCCACTATTTTTCCCGAAGGTCCAGGCATTGGTCAGCGTTTTCGACAGTTTTTCCAGTCAAAGAAGATGTCAACTGGTTCAGCAGTCGAACCGACATCCGGGACCACAAGGTCAGACGACATCTTGCGCTCTGTCTATGGCATGCCAGCGATGGAGCAGCCCACACTGGTGCCTAGTGCTTCTCGGCCAGTCCTTCCACCAAAGACGCCCACAAGCCCCCAGCGCATCCTTCCCACTCGCCTGCCTCCGCTCGTTCGTCAGGATCACATCACACCCTTTACACCGTCCGCTTCACCAAAGTTTCGAGTGGTTGAGCCTAGCAGTCAAACATTCTCGCGCCAGCGTCCACGAGACGTTAGCTCGGAGCCGGATGCAGGCGCTAGACCGTATGTGCGTTCCGCTTCTCTAGGTCCGCCTGCTGGTTCACAGCGGATCGGTGGCTCCCTTAGTCAGAATCCCGCATCAACTGCACCAAGTAACTATGTCTGGGATGCCTGGGAACAGGCAGTAGTCGGTGATCCGCGATCGGTCTACCGGCCATTCACAGCTCCCGGGCCCCCGAACGTGCTCTCTCCTGCTCAACTCTTCCCACATAGGCCGCCTACGGTAGCCCCCGTTCCATCCTGGGCCCCGCCAGTCTGGTATCCACCGCCAGCTGGCTACTATCCGGTGGGACCCTACTCCGCCGGCTTTCAACCCAGACAATCCTTCGGTACTTTTCCGCGAGGTCCAAGACAGCGGACGTCCGTGGATGCAGTGATAGCAGCGGATGCTCACGAGGAGCCGATTATTCCAACTACCTATCAGGCTCCAATGACCGCTGAGCAGACACCGCAGTCTTATGCAAACGGAGCGAGCAGTCGTCGCACCTCAGCGGCCCGCATGTACCCTGTCTCCACAGCGACTGAGGGTAAGGGCGACGCACCAACTGATACGAGTAAGCAATACAGCATTGCACGGACCTCTCCACTCGAGACTGACCTATCCGAAGGGACGACGCTTAGACCACCGTCAGAGGAGACGTCTTTTAGCAGGTCACAGTACCTGCGGCCTCAGAAGGCGACCAATCATTTGAAAACGACAAGTCTCCAGGCGCACGACGAAGAATGGGAGGGCGAACAGCCGGATCCGCAGCAGCAGCAGCAGGGGCACTGGCCACCTCTCTATTACCTGCCGCCTCCACAAGGACAAAATTATTATGCACCATATGGACCACCCGTGCCCGGCCTGATACTATCCCCCTACGGCCAACCTGTAATGTCACCGAATAGCTGGGCTACACTGCCGGCAGCATTGATACCACCGGAGGAATACAGTCGACACAGTTCTGGTCGGCATCGACACGCTCACCACCACAACGCCGGCGGAAGTCTGGACAGGTCCCGAAAAAGGCACAATCGCTATCGGACAAACGATAGCAGCAGAACCCACCAGAATGGCCAACGAATGACTAATGGGACACAGGAAGCCGGCGACTCCAAGCGACAGTTACGCCCGAACAGCGAATCTGGCGCCTACGATCGCATAGAAAATGTGCCAATTTTGGAGCCAGCGCCCACGAGTCACAAGACGGGTGGGAATCCAGTCAACTCCTACGATGCAGTACCGAGACAGGGCAGAGGACCCGAGCGGGAGGTCAGCGCTGAGCGACAGGAGGATGAGGTAATTCAACGAAAATTGCAGCAAATCGAACGCGAACCCAGCTCTGAGGGAGGGCGGGTTTATACCAGCAGATTCGTCTTCAACAGCGGAAAACCGGTGTCGAATGCGCCCCGTTACGACATCCCTCTGCAGTCGACTCAGAATCTCCGGTCCGCCAACCTGTCTTCCAGACAGATCGAGCCTACTGTGGTTGCCAGCACAGTACCCACCAGCTCTCGAGCTTCCTTTTTGCAGTCTTCCTCGACTACTAGTTCGACTACGGACGCGCCAAGAACTGTAACTGCAAGTTCCACCGAATACAAACAGGTTCAGCCACTTCACGTGCAGACTACACTACAGCCGCAGCAGCAGCAGCAGTCAGTCTTAAGTCCCCCAAAGGTCAGTGAACCGGGATTAGTTTATAACAGCCAGATGGTGCGCGATCTCAACAGGCGCTTTGTGCAAATGTCTACCAGTCAGGCTCAGAAATCTCCATCGTCAGCAAGGCTACAGTATCTGCAGAACATCAGCTCACCCGCAGAACAGACAAAACAGGTTAGTACACCGGTTCACGTGGGTCGGGGACCGGTAGTTAAGGAGATGGTTCAGCGATACTCAGGAGGTGAAGCCTTCTTCCCCAACCAAAATCGACAAGACGACACATCGGCTGTAGAACTGTCAGAGCTAGACGAAGCCCTAGCCTCTGGTGAGATCAGCTTCTCGGACGAGGTCGATTACTCATCAGCTAGGTGAAGGCGTCCTTCCTCTCCAACAAATATGCCCCCACGTTCACTCCCCCCTCCCCATGATGACCTTTATTTGCTTACTTCGAACCTGGCGACTTTGTGCCAAACTCTACAACACCCTGTAGTGCCTCGCAATTCTGATTTTTGATGTGGTGAGAAAGAACAGGGGTGCCTAATTTCAAGTACACTGTCTTCTTGTTCTTGCAACTAGGAGCAGTTTTTACTTTTGGTCAAGAATGCAGACTTAAAGGAGATTTTTTGCATTCTGCGTGCGCAGAATCATCAACCCGCCTCCTGAGTCCTTCTTAGCAGTTGTTAACTACTAGTTCTACAGGCCACACTCTGGTCTAACACAAAGACAAAGGGGAGACGGGTAACAGCAGGTCGACAAACAGTATACTCCTGATTGTATTTACTACCACATATGTTGAGAACTGGCTTAACTCTCTTCATCCGTCCCTTAAAGACAGGGAGAGGGACGGACATGCTTCGTACGAAGAACCAACCAGTTCATGGCTTTAAAGTGGGCAGACGTTTCAGCCGCTCCGAGACGAAAAATCCGGGGGACGACAGTCCACGAATAGCCAATAACGAGCAGAAAATCGAAGCAAAAGCTGAGTTGTCTGTAAACAGCTTTGAGTAACTGCTTCCGTTTTTTGGACAATAATTGTCGAAGGTGTTCTGGAACTCGAAGTCGCAGATAAGAGGAACCATGACTACTTCACAGTGAGGGGAATGAAATAATAGTTGACAGTGATAACCTTGAATACTTGCTTGGCAGGATTCCGAATCGTCTGGCTAACGCATGTAATTTTAGGAGTAAACAAGGCATAGCAACAGTTTCGCACAGTGAAAGCACCCAAACTTTACCCCGTTAGATGAACTGGCCTCAGAGAACGAGGAGTTCTCATTCGGCCTGTCAGACTCATTTGAATTCGTGTAGAGTAGAGGATGCAGGCCCGTTAAAATTAAATCGATCTTAAGACTTGACAGCGTTACACTTTCGACTGGAATAAATGCCGAAGACGAGGCACGTTTTGACTAAGGAAAGTAGAAGCATTCAACTGCTCCCCTTTCAGGGACTATCAGTGACTGTACTCTCAAAAGCATCGACGATTCGATGTGGCTACTTTATGAATACCATGTTCACCGTGACAGTCTTGAAAAAGTATCCATTGTAATCGAAATGACGTGTTTTGATCTAATGAGCCAAATCCAGGCCAACGTCGAAGGTACCTTTAAAACCAGGTGATAGGCTAATTTTGAAAAAAAAACTGTTTGATACTGATATTCAGAGCATACACTTGCGCATTATCGGCTATTGACCGACCCCTTGGATTTCATCCTGCTTTTCTGCTTGTCCGAAATCAAAAATAACCCTCATAGCGGCTCGCCGCGCAAATAAAACCGCAGGATCCCAACTGTATATACTCTAATCTCTTTAACGAATCACATCGATCAGCATGCTGTGATATCCGCAATGCTCTCACTCGGAAAACCCTTGGGCCTTTCTGCTTCGTCCGCCTGTCCGAAATTGGTGAGGGTATTTTTTTAGGAAATCACTACGGACAGTTGTACCTTCGCCAAGATGAATAACCTGGTTTGTTTTTCATACATATTTAAAACTTAAAGTAGTTCTTTGCATCTGTACTGAGCGCCAACACGTGACATGGCAGCGAATATGTTTTGAACCAGTTTTCTTGGGTAATAACGAGCGTGAAACATAGGTAATGTCCCCGACTATGAATACCGCTGCTCCTGTGGGGTAAGGTTTTAATTATTGTGGCACCAGTACATACATACATGTGACATTTGCTAATAGAAGCGAACAGGCGAATTCCCGGAAGCAGTCGCAAAGAAGAGGCTTCCAACTGTGATAGGCATGTAGCGGCTTAGCGACAACGTCCTATAAATACTGCAACACCTGGGCAATATACTAACTTTATCTGACTGTGTCTCTGATTGTGGATTGGAATGAGGATCCGAAACGTCAGGCGAATAACTTTCCTGTTCCAGCGATATATGGCATTATCGTCAGGAGGCCTCGGTGAGTTTCAAATCCACAACAAAAGGGGGAAATCTTGCGTACAGCCAACTATTTAACCGTCCGAGCTACGAGACAAAGATCGGGAGCCATGGACTCACTCATATCTGAACTAAGTTACTTGCTCGATCTACTAAAACGTACACATACATATATACATATGTAATGGTAGAGGGGCGCTCACCGATCGTTCCTACGGAGATCACTTGTTCTGTTGTGCTTTACGGGCTCTCTCTCGAGCCCAACCAACAGCTGCACAGCGGCGCCTGATATAGACAGAATGGCATTACCGACAAAGACAAGGGAGACTGGAATGGTCATTTCTGGCTTATTAGCCGTCGTCATCCAGTCATACCCAACTCCGAACTGTGGAACACCCAAGGCTCGAACTCGCCACCTGTTAGTTAGAAGTCCACGCCTCTAACCACTGGGCCACGAGCCCGTTGCCCTGTCGGTTTTCGATCGGGAATATACAATGGTAGGGGGTGCTCACCGATCGTCCTTAGGCATCGATCGTTCAGGCACAACCGAACGAGGGAGTTCCGTAAGTACGATCAGTGAAAAAATCGGGTTGTACTTGTGAATTTTCGAGCTGGTGAACCCAACCCCTCGACAGACGAAATGAATATAAGAGGAGTTTGAAACAGTCACCCTAACTAATTAACGCGAGTTGTAAGGAGTGATGCGGGCAGGGAGTCAAGCTGGGTTCTGAGCCGAAAGGGGAGGAGGGGGGGGAGAACAGTTACGTCCCCCCTGTTGAAGGGGGAGGGAGCATGGTAGGTTGGCGGGACTGCGGACGCCTGGACTAGCGACCACTAATGCGGCGTGGGGCTCGGCGTATTGGGACGTGATCTTAGGCCCTCATAATGGGCGTCTAGGTCAACGTAGCGGTTGATGCTTTCCGCATTAGAATACCATACCTCTAGGAATTCTCTCGCCCGTTTTGTGTTGGCCGTGACCATGACTGAGTGTCATCCCAATTGAATTGGTAGTCGCACGGGAGCGCGTTTGCGAAGACGAGGGCCAGCGGGTCACGGCGACGGACAGTTAGTCTGTGTTCATTAATTCGAGTTTCCAGGCGTCGTCCTGTATGCCCAACATATACGCAGGGACAATTGACGCACGGGATACAATAGATGACATTAGTCTGTTCGTCTTCGGGAATAGGATCCTTTACTCGAGATAAGGCTGCGCGCGGCGAGGATGCAGGTTTGTGGGCAACGCAGATACCGAGCTGATTTGGCTGACGGGTTATCACTTCTGAGGTCCCCCGCATATAGGCCAGGGCGAAGAATTTCTGTGTCACGATCTGTCCATTTGTGGAAGAGACTGAGATTGTGCCTGATGCCTGAGACAGTTCTTCCCAAAACTGATCGGATATCCGTTAGATCTATTTTTTTTCTTCGGGAGATCGTCATTGCTGCAGTAACGGTAGGCCCGGTGGAAGAGAGTTCGGACGCAGCTTCTTTTGTGAGTCGCAGGGTGCTTGCTTCCATAATTTAGGATGATCTCAGAGTCAGACCCTTTTCTATTGATGCTGGTCGAGGGACTACCGGCGCCCAGCCTTTCTATTTTTACGTCCAGAAACGGCGGACTGTCTCCTACGGCCCCTTCATGAGTAAATTGTATGGCTGGGAAGACATCATTCAGCCTCTGATGTAGCCTCTCGACATCGCAGTTCTTTATTACAACAAAGGTGTCGTCGACATAGCGGAGCCACATTTTGGGTTTGAGGGATTAAAAAACCCCATCTTCTAGTCGCTGCAGCACTATTGCGACAAGTAGTCCTGATATTGGGAAGCACATCAGACTTCCCTTCACCTGTTGGTAGTACTTATGGTCGAATTTACATTAGTTCCTAAGGCAGAGTTTGAGCAGTTCTATAACGTGCTGCTCTGGGAATCAATAATCAATCGTGTGTTATAGAAGAAAATAATGCAACGACGTCAAATGACAAGAGGCATTCATCAGTGCTTACATGGAGGCTTTCGATCTGGTGGAGGAATTTGTGAGAGCTGTTAATGCTGTTGTGAGACCTATGAGTTAGAGGCTTCAGATGCTTGTACAACCACTTAGCTAAATTGTAAGTAGGGGATCCGATGAGCGGCGCTTTAGTCCTCAGTGAGGCACCGATCTTTTGAACCTTTGGGAGATCGCATGCGTGTGCGATATGCGGATCACTGAGGGTCATCAGCTTTGAGTCATCTGGACCTATAACTTTCAAACGAACGAGCACATTAACCCTTTTGATGGTTGCGGCTTGCTTTTTAGTTGGGTCTTCGCGAGAATAGTAGAGGAATCCGTGTCACTGAAGGTTATATTCGCCTTGCTAACGTAGTCAGTTTCGTCCATGATGACGGTAGTGCCACATATGTCAGCGGGAACAACAGCAATATTGTGGTCCGACTTCAGTGATCACAATCCTTGCACTTCTTCGGCCGGTAAAGTTAGCTGGTGTCCCTTTTGCCGCAGGTTACCAGTGGCACAGCTGCGGACGTCAGCGCGTTTGTCTTTAGGTAGGACAGACGTCAGTAGAACGGATTCGAGACCAGCTGGAAAACTGGTAGGTGCAGCATCCGTAGGATCAAATCCTATTCCCTTAGACAGGAGATTGATTTCAGCCGGTAGGTGATTCCTTTTCGAGAGGTTAACAACTCTCGTTGACATGCTTCTTTCATTCATGGGGCGGAGCAGAGACTGGAGTTTCATCTGGAGATCAACTCTCTTCTTCAATCTCACATCCTTGGCTGTGCCATTAATTCGTTGTTGCACCTCCTCCGGTACGTATTCAGGTAAGGCTGAAGCACACTGATTTTTAAGGTCAGCAAGAATTTTTCGAATCTGCGGAGTCGATTGTGGACGTCAGATATTATAGCCCCCAGAACGCGCCATCCGTATTTGTACGCAAGGGATCTCCCAGTCTCATTCGGCAGCGTTGGTTTGAAACGAAGAGACTTCGGTAA